CCGATTTGCTGTGCAAATTTAAAATTTGTATCAAATATATTTAACATTTTTACAGTATTTATTTATTATTTATTTTAATTGGGCTAATATACTTAGTCTATTAGTCTAATTAGGTACTCAACTATAGTTTATATTTCACCATAATAATGACGTGATTCACAATATTACTTACCCAAGACTGACTATGTCCCAAAACTTGTTAAAATACGTAAAAAAAAAATTTGTTATTGGCGCGCGTGGCAGTCAAGTAGCGTTGCGCGCATGCGCATAAACGTAAAATCGTAAACTTTGGAAGGCTATAACTTCTAAAATAATAGTTTCCGGGAAAAAAAATTACACTATCGTTTTAAGCATAAAAAAACAAGTCTTTTGAAAAAAAAAAATTTGAAAATCGTGAGGGGGTTGGTAAAGTAGATTTTAGCCAAGTAGGTCACAGAGTAAAAAAAAAAAAATAATTATAATAATTCAAAAAGAATAAAAAATATTGCAAAAAACTTTTACTGAATTCCTGGTCTAGAACCTGGGGTGTTACAGGCCGCAACCAATTTGAAGACCACTGCACCACACCTAACTATATGAAGATATTACCAAATTACTTATTTAAGAGACTTGTGAAAAAGCGTTAAACTTCATAGGCCTGTAACTTGAAAACTAAGTCCGAGCCCCAAATTCTGACTTCACTATCGTTTTAAGCATACAAAACTACATAGGTTCAAAAAAAAGAGTGTCCGGTAAAGTATAAATATACCTCTTTTTGTAGACTGTAAAGTTAGTATTGTTTTAAAATTACAACTTGTACCATATCTGCTACCAACCAAAACATTGATAAGATCTTCTGACCCTAAAACTATCAAAAAAAATTGGAAACCCTCATCAGTAGAGTCTGCGGCTGCTTTTATCACACATATTGCTGTAAGTTTTATTAAAAATTGTATATTTAAATTTTCAGTTTATATATATATTTATATTTTTTGGGTAGAACATATCTCAATTAGAGGCTGATATAGTCCAAAGAAGAGATAAATATCAACATGTTGGCAGTCAAATCCAGCCTTATATGTCACCTTTTATCAATGAAATTAAATTTAAAAAACTTTTTGCAGCTTCCAGGTGTTTATAATACAATAATTAATTATATGAATGATACATCCAAAAATAATGAAATATTAACATCATTTTTAAATGGATCATTATGGAGAAACATACAAATTAAATTCAAAGGTTTTACCAATTTTTGTTTATTATGATGTTGAACTCGGAAATCCTCTAGGATCACATTCAGGGATCCATAAAATGGGATGTGTTTACTATACAATTGCTGCACTTCCTCCTGAATATCTTTCTTCACTTGAAAACATTTTTACAGTTTATTTATTTCATTCAAATGATAGAGAAAAAAAGTTTTCAAATAAGCAATTATTTTCTGCTTTGATTAAAGAACTATTAGATTTACAAGAGAATGGTATAAAAATAATGATAGATTCTACAGAGATAACTATTTATTTTGCTTTAGGTCTGGTTTTAGGGGATAACTTGGGATTGAATTCTATTCTTGGTTTTGTTAGCAGTTTTTCTGCAAATTTCTATTGTCGCATATGTCGGTCACATAAATCAGATATGCAACAAATGTGTGTTGAATCTGAGCTTTCAATTAGAAACAAACAAAATTATGAAGTCGATCTTGCAACACAGAATCCTTCCTTAACTGGTATTATTGAGCCATCTATTTTTCATCATATTCCTTATTTTCATGTGACCAATAATATTGTATGTGACTTTATGCACGACATTCCGGAAGGTGTAGCACGCTATGATATGGCTTTAATTATTAATGGTCTTATTGAACAAAAGTATTTTAAATTGGAGGAATTAAACAATAGAATTATAATGTTTAACTATGGTGTGACAGAAAAAAAAAATTCTCCTCCAATTATTAGAGACACTGATATTAAAAAAGGTTGTATTATTATGTCAGCATCAGAAATGCTGTGTATGGTGAGATATTTTTGTTTGATGGTTGGAGAGTTAGTCCCTTATGAGTCATTACATTGGAAACTATATTTACTTTTACATAGAATAGTAGACTTGTGTTGTGCTAGAAAAATACAACGTGATAGTTGTATTTTATTAGATTCCCTAATTTCTGAACATAACAGACTATACTTATTACTATCTAAAAAAAATTTAAAGCCTAAATTTCATTTACTAACACACTATGGTAGAATATTGCAAAAAAATGGTCCTATTATTTTTACTTCAAGCATAAGGTTCGAAGCAAAACATAAAGTATTGAAATCTATTGCAAACGCAATTCCTTGCCGTATAAATTTAGGTTATACTTTGTCCTACAAATTACAATTACAGATGGTGATGCGTTTTCTTACTAATGCTAGCCTTGGTGAATCAGATTTAAAACTAGGATTGGGTAAAGAAATACATCTATCTTTAGAATTTCCTAGTAATTTGATTACCAAATTACCAAATGAACTCAAATTAAAATGTTTTTCGTATTCATGGTTGGAATATAAGGGAGTTTACTACAAAAAAAAAGTTCTATTGGTTTTAGAATCTAATTTAGATAATTGCATATTTGGTGAAGTAATTTTTATACTTGTTGGTAAATCTAAAATTCCTTTTTTTTTATTTAAACCTGTGTGCACAGTTGGTTTTGACTCTCATTTTCATTCATTTGAAATTAAAATTGATAATTCTGATATAATTAATTATACAGAATTAATTGGCTGTTATATTAGTGAATTATCTGATACTACACCAACAGTAGCTCGTACGATTGGCAATTTTAAGACATATGCTACATTAAGATATGCAACTTAAAAAAGTTTTTTAATGAAATTAATATTAAATATATATGTATTTGTTTAGATGTTATTACTAATTGTAAGTCTTTATTTAATGGATGTACCTAATTACTAATTATATGTTTAATATGTATACTAATTGTATAAATGTATGATTTTTTTTATTATAATGTCTAAAAATAAGCCAACATTTGTTACCATAAAAATACAATAAATAATGAATTATTATAATAATAATAATAAAAGTATTTATTAATTATCATTTGCACCTATCTATAATTAAGTCTATATTCATAAATCATAGTCATATTAAATCAATGACTGTAATATTTTGATGTTTACAGGTTTTATACTGAGGTTCTGATTTTGATTTTTTTTCAAACAAAAAGTATTATTAAGTGAAGATAAATGCAACGAGTAGTTAATTTAACAATCCAATAATCTATATTGATATCTCATCAAAGTTGTTTTGAATACAATATTATATTTTTACTTTCAATAGAATAAAGTTAATTTAATTTAGTTCGGTGTTATTTTAACACCAACTAATATTAAACTGAGATATTACCAACCATTTTAATTTCAATTATAAATACATGTTAAAACAACCACAAATGAGCCTTAGCTCAAAAACGACGTTCAAATGTGTATAACATTGACACTTTTTGTTGTTAAAATAACTACAGATTTCCATGCGTGTACTGATTCTGATTCTCCTGAAGAAGAAATCTTAAGTGTATCAGATACAGGTATGCATACAAAATTGCTTACATATTATTGTGTTACATGCAAATTATACTCCTATTTGTCCGTAGAAATGTGTCTGGTCCCACAATTTCCATGCACAGAATGTACAAAATCATTTACTTACTTATCATATCTGCTAAAACACCTTCAAACCCACAACAAAGTAGAATGCACAATATGCTTTAAGCTACTATCATCTACAGAGGCTTTCAAACGACACATGTCCTTACATAAGAAAAAAAGAAAACGTAAACACAAGTGCCAAACATGTAGCTGCAAATACTATCAATTGAGTGATTTAGTTTACCACATCAAAACGAAACATGAGTAGAGCGAAAAAATTAAATGCAGTCATTGTGAAAAAGTTTATACAACAGAGAAATTGATGAAGGCTCATGTCAAAGAGATACACCTGCAACTTAAAACATTTAAATGTTCATATTGCGAAGAAAAATTTGACAGTTCGATCATTCTGTGTCGAAAAACATAAAAAAGGTAATTCAAATATAATAGTTTTACAAATAATTTTAAAAAAATTTATTTTATTTAATTTAATTTTTCTCAATTTGTACATTACATTTCAAATACAATTGTTAAATTTTTATTTTATTCAGGAACACGCTGAGCCGTAAACCATACTGCTTTACACCTGCGACTTGGCTGCTCGAATCAACGGCATTATTTATTTTTATAAAGTACAAAATTTCGATTTTTAATGAATTATAAACTTATAGATATCTACCGGTATAGTGCATATCGTGTCCACCCGGCACTTATAATATGAAATAAAATTACTTAAAGTCCAAATACTTAGGAAGATGTATTTTTAATAATTTGACATAATATTTTAAGGTTTTGAGTGAAGAGATAATAGTATTGGTTTTACAATAATGTGTATTTTTTTATGTCTATAACCACATTTTCGTGTAGTACAAGTTTACAACTAGTTCGAACGTTTTATTAAACCTTTGCCTCCTATTATAGGACATAAATGGCTTCTTGGTATTTTCAAGAGTACCTTTATCGATATTGTTAACCGTTTTTCATTAGTAAAAGTACTAACTAAATAAGTAGCTAAAAAATTGAATAATAAACGAAAATATGGCGCTGAGAATGATTGAAAAAACTATAGGGGGTGTAGAGCACCCTCTTCCCAAACTATAAGCATTATTTTAAAGCATTTATTCGATGCTGCTGTGCTGTGCGAAAAATTTATAATTCTATGAATATTTCAATTTTAAATGTCAAACAGTGGAAAATAAAAGTCGAAATGTCGAAATTAAAAGTCGAAACTACAATATTTTTTTTCTAGTTGGCACTACTACGCTTCCGTAGTTATCTTTATCTTTATCTAGATAAATTATTAGTTATCTATTCCCAACACTGCCCCTGAGTCTACGGCTCTGATGCAAAGGAATTCAAACTTAACAACAGGCGATAGCTTGACCCAGTGATTCTATTATCATCCATTTTTAGATCGTTGTTGGTATTATGTTTATCTACAGGACAAAATAGTAATTAATATTGTTACAAATGTGCAAACACTAAACTATACAGTCGACATTTTAGAGAAAGCGTGTACTGAATATTTGAATATTCTTTATTTTATTAAGGTTGATTTAAAACTCTCATCAATTAGTTATAATATAATTAGTTCTACATTTATCTATTATGCTGATCGTAATTAATCGATATTAATTGTATGAAAAATGAGATAAGTACACTTAAATTTGATAAAATTATGTATCCGTGTTATACGTTAAAAAATATGTCATATGAAAATAGCAAATCGATATTGTGTTTATTTAAAATGCATCCCAAATCTATATAATCTAATAGTTGGCCTTGGGAAAATGGCCTGCATTTACTTGTGCACTGCGTATTCTAATTTGTAACTATATACTAAAAACTACATTAACACGGTAGCCAGTTTAGATACCAATATGTATATGATATATAATGTTGGCGAGGAAAATAATTATACTTTGTAGAAAAATTAATTTTCATGTACCGATCAGCTGCATCGGAATATAAGTATTTATCACCTATAGCTCGAAAAAAAATGTATATCGAATCGTTCGGAGACGATAATTCGGTTCGAAACTCCGGAAATGTGTTAACCACTTTTGTTCTTTTCTTTTTCGTACCTACGTCTATTATTATTATTATTATTATTATTATTATTATTATTATTGTTGTTGTTGTTGTTATATTTTTTTCTTTTCTTTACAACATGTAAAGCGTGCGGTCGGATGAACATGTCAGTGGATCCGTCCAAAAATAAAAAATCCTGAAATAACAGCTACAGCTGTCTCGCGGCCATCGGTGATTTATATGCGAATGCGGAAAGCGATAATAATAATAATATTGTACAATAATAAATACACAACATACCCATGACTATATTTCATTTTAGTAACTCTGCCCGTGACCATTCCCCAAGCACATTGATTATATTACAAACTATAATAATATTATTATGATCGTGTGCGCACCAAGTGTCTACTATTATATACTAGCTACCTAAGGACGATTTCCTTGCACATCGTGTGAGTTCATATGACGATTTTCAACAGAGCTCATAACAGTTCAACAACAATAATTATTATCCTGATATCCGCGGTGTTCTCTCGCAATAATTTAGATCCAGGCGGCAGTCACACGGCCTAACCTATGTAATTCGTGAATCGTGTTATACTAACGTGCTATTAAGGGGGACAGGGTACCGTTTGTTTGTTTACTGTGCCTATATACCATAATAATATTATTGTAGGCATTAGGTATATTATGTTCTGCGATGAAAAGTCGTCATGATTGACGGAGAAGTCATAACGAATCGTAATAATTGACCGGTAACGAGTACAAATTGTGTGTTTTGAGGTTAACACAAAAAAGTACAAATCGCAAGAATCGTTCCATGAAAAATTTCTCACGACACTGATGACTGACGAGTGAATTTTTTCGTGAAATGCATTAGGTTTATATTTATATTTTATTTCGTAGTGGTTCGATTAACTATATTATATGCTCACCTCTATACTTAGATAAAATGTATTCATTGTTTTTGGATTTCAGGATTCTTTGACAAGAAAATCTTGTATTCCGATTACGTTGAACAAAGTTTAGACCAGCATGAAAAATTATAATTCTATCATGGTATATTCGGATAATACACGGTGCAAGACATATTCAAGTTTAAACCGTTTCTATTATTATAATAAAACAGTTGTCGGGAACATATTTTTATCATCGTTTTTGTTTTTGAAATCAATTACATACCCATACCTATGGAAATGTTATTTAGCTATTTAATGTGCCATTTAAATTTATTCAATTCAATCTTAAGTTGCGAATTATTCCACTGTACATAGTATAGGGTATTTGTCTTGCAGCTATTCGGTTGTTCTTTTTTTTTAAGCATAATGTCCTGTGACACGTACGATTAACGACTATTGTCGAAGTGTAGAACACCTGCTATTATTGTACGGCATCAGTGTCTCGGTAGATTACAATGAGTATAAGTGTATAATATATAAATATAATATATATAGTGGCAGTAGTCTACATAGAGGTTTCCTATTCAGCATTGTTCGATTTATATTCCATTCAAATACAAAATGGATAGAATTTATTTTCTCATAGGTAGGTACCTAATGTTTTACTTTTAATGAACCGAGTAATGTATCGCACGAATACATGGTACTAATTACTGGTGTACGGACCACTTTAGATTTTTTTAAGTAGGTATTTACATAGTTACTTTAAAAGTGCATTTTTAAGTAACGGATTTAAATGTTTGGATAAATATAAAACACAACTATATAGTACGTAGTTTGTGATATTATGCGTAGGTGCATTGTATTGATATAATATTGCCTTTGGATTTTGTTCTTAATTTTTTCCAGGTTTGTTAAAATTATTGTATTTTCATCAAGCTATTTTATTATGGTTTCAAATTCATTGATTTATTTGGACGAGCAAAAATGCCAATGAAAAATGAAATATAAGATGATATATATATATAATATATATGGTAGAGTACAACAATTTAAAAAAAAACTTTACATCAAGTTAATTAAATTAATTACAAAATAAATAAGTAAAAAAGCATCAAATCATCAAATTCTTTCTTGTGAAATGATTCGTGTTTAAAAAAGTCGATTGAAAGTAACACACGCATTCGTTAAAAAGAACAGTAATTGAACATTTCTAGGGGACGTTAAACATTCCTAGTATTTCCTACCGTCGAAAAATATTGTCAAATACCTTCAGTGTTCTGATGAGACAACACTTCATCATAGACACATACATAATATACACCGTATAGTCAAATATTCCTGTGTATGAAAATGGGTAAGACTGAAATTACTATAATTTAATATAATATGTAATTAAGTAACTAATATAATTATAATTTATAAGACATGGTTGTAAATAATTCATCACGTTGTCAAGTATGATTACAAAGTATATTTTAAACGTAGCAAAGCGTATTCATTATTTTCCAAACTATCGTCAACGTTAATTAAAGATGTATGATTATTCAACATTTTGTCGATGAACGATTAGGTAGGTACTTAATGACTAATGATGAGTGATGATATTAAACAAAGCTATTAATCTCAAACAATGCGTAATGCGTATATAGTGCCGAGGGCCGAGATTTATTTATCACAATTAGGTACCAATAATAAGGTCAAACAATAAACTGGAAAATAAAGTAAATAGAAAAAAATTATTACTAACGATATATTGCAATAAAAAAAAATTCTCGAAGAAAACATAATTTAATTTACAAAATGTAAAATAACAAATTAAACATATGTTATATTGGGCAACGAAGATAACTTAAAATAGTTTTCTTCATTCGGCCTGTATAATTGATTAACCACTATCCAAGTTTCCTGATTAATAGACAGAATTCCTTAAAATATATTATCTGGAAATGGAGAGCTGTCTTTTCCTTGACATTTTAACAACGATAAAAACAATATTACAAGTTTCAATATATTTAAAACTTAAGATCATTGTTCTGCTCTTACGTGACACACATATAAAATATAGATAAAGTGCATACATGCTGTCCTCGATAAGATTTCCTCCTTTGCGGCAGTGTATCATTAATTTTTTTTTTAATTATCGGTCATTCATTACATTACTTCGCTCAATTTTCCTATGGATAGTGGCGTCAGGTATTTTATATAATTGTACATCTATTATACACAAGGCGGCTTTGTTGTGTCCAAATAACAATAACAGTGAAATACAATTTCCGTTTATTGGCGAGTATCAACAACAAATTACACTATTTTCCAACATATACCCGAAAATCACTCTGCAACTGCATCAGATGTACGTACTACGCACGTCCAATTGGTCGAATATTACTATTACGACTGTACTATATCTACGATGGGCATCATTCGACTTATTTTTTGGAGAGCGCTTTCACAGCTCAAAAAAGTGATTTGGAAAAAAATCTAAATCAATCTAAACATTCTAAACCAATCCTACACGGTACCTATACGGTAATTATTGTCTCTTATTCATTATTGCTTCATTCAACATCTAAAATCGTTAATATTATTATTATTATTCTATTAAAATTTTAAACTCGTTTTTCATCGTTCCGCTGCACTGCACTGAGCGCGTACCTATTTATGTGTATTGTACGTCTCCCCCACTCGTCCCCCCCCACCAAAAAAAAATCATCAGACAAAGTCTGTAACTTAAACAACTTGTACGTGCACCTACTACAGTGGTGTTTATACACAATAATACGTGTATTCAAATGTTATATGTAAACCTATTGTATGTATTGTTTATATATTATTATAGGTAATCCAAACAACATTGCGTAACGGCGGTAAATGAGATCGCGCTTGAGACGCTCCTCTCGTATTTTAATAATAAATAATACATAATAGGTACGTTATTCTGACCAAAAAATATTACGGCGGCGACGGCGGCGTTATTTCAGTCAAGGCGAACGTGTTTCCCGCGTATTGCACACAATTCGGCTGCCGCGTACCTGAATTATACAGTATATTATAATAATACTAACTTATTATTAACATATACTATGCACACTTACACTTTACAGTACTGTGTAATATTATTTAATGAATTATATGTACATATATTATATACGTACGTCCGGCACCGCTCGCGACTTAGGGAGAAATAACGTTTAATTTGTGCGTGGGATAGGACTACAATGCATTTAATTTGATTTTCGTGTGTTTCGCTTACCTATGCATTATAACTTTAAATTATACCTATATCGTAAAATTATATATGAACACTTGTAGGCCGCAGCGAAACTTAGGCCTGTGATTATGACCAGGTACACGTGCTGCTGTACACACGCATCGTGCGAGTGTGTGAGCAGCGTGCACGCGTATATTTTAGAGGAAAAACCAAGCAGGTTTACCATCGTACGTAGGGTCAAATGGCAATTGGCCCGAAACGAAATAAAAAAAACAAAACAAAACCGTTGTACGGTATTTTTGTTTTTATCTTTTACGCAATTTTGCCCGGACATACCACGAACGCGCGTGTATGAGAAAATCGGAGTAAAAAAAAACTTCCACAACTGCTCCAGTTTACGTGTTTCACGTCTGATTTCGTCAAAAAAAAAATACTAATAATAATAATAGTAGATACCGTGTAGTCCGAAGTGTATAACGTGTGTATTATGTTATAAATAGTATACCAGATCGTGCGAAGAACAAAACAGCTGGGTGTGGTCAGATATTTTGCATCGACTTGCGCGAGTCTGTCTTACGATTTTTAGTTTTTTTTTTCATGAAAAACGTCAGACGCATAATATATTATAACCCCTAACTTTTAATGTATTTTGAAATTAAAAAAAATAAGAAAAGAAAAATTGTATGGTTTTACTTAGAGCTAAGATAGGCACACAAAAAAATGCTATAAATAACTGTCGCGGTTCTCTAGTCTCTAATTTATTCAGCAATACGTTTTTAAAAATTATTTATTAATGAAAACAAAATACAAACACAGTGAGGCATTATAAACTATATAGAACTATTAAACTATTTAGGTATTGTTTTCATTTCTTCTTCTTTTAGTTGTGATCATGGTAACACTACCGTTATGAATACAGAATACTAAATACACATTTTAACTATTCCCAAGTTCAACTCTTTATGATTTATGACGAGACAATAAATTTTAATATAAGAAAATTTAATATTATTATGTTTATTCTGAGTGTCACCCCGCGTTTAAAAAATGTTAATAAAACAACATACTGCTGCAGTAGTTCCCAATAAAATGGTTAATTTTTCCTAGCATTGTACTCGAGACAAACACGAATATACCTACGATAATATTACAGCAACTTCGAGCATTGATTAGAATAAAAGTGATTTAGAGGCTATAACGAAATAAATTTCAAACAGTCAGAAGTATATAGGTACCTACGCCATAGCTATTAAATAAGAATAAATTTATTAACATAATAACATGAATACATATTATTAGGTATAGAGAGTATATTACAGTATAGAAGAGCCCCATCGCTTATTGTTTTCACGACTCTCTTAATAGTACTGTTGTCTGTTTTGTTTAACAAACAATAATAACGAAATCTTTTGAAACAATTTTTTTTCTCTACAATCAACATGCCTTATAAGAATCGGTCAAATGTTTTCCTACGCATAAATTGATAACCATTCTGTATTAAAAAATCGTCTTCGTGTTCACCTTGGATTGCATAACAAAAACGCAAAACCTATAACGTTATTAGTTCATAACAACCCACAAATTTAGTACCTATATATGTTTATTACTGATTAGTGGCACACCCAAAGGCGCATTCAGCCCATGTTACTGGGTCGAGTGGGTCGACCAGCTGGTTTAAACTTTGTTTTAAACGTACCAATTTGTATACATATTCCAAAAGAACGTAAAAGGAGAAAAAATGTGATATTGCGTAAAACAGACCTGGGTATAAAAATTTATGAGAACTCGCTGCTATAGTAATACCTACTATTAATTATTACAATAGAACGTTGCACATGTAAGTACCTACTACCTATATCATTATTTTTTTGCATCGAAATATAATAGATTTCAGAGACTTTAACGCTGTAGTATCGTGTACGATTTACATGTTAGTTATAATTTGCAATGTTAGAAAACAAGTTGCATTTAGAACAAGTGATGGGAATAAAGTAGTGATGTCAAAAATCCGGATTTTTGGATATCCGGATTATCCGGATATCCGAATCCAAAATTTAATAACCGAATAATCCGAATAATCCGAATAATTCGAATAATTTAAATGTTTATATAGGTAAATATCTAATCTAATTATTATAAAGGAAGGTTTCAAAAATATGTTGACGGTTGATGCAGTTGGTAGTAGTTATAATAATGTTTTATTTCATATTATAGAATATAGATCATGTCTTAGCAAATATTAAATATTTAAATAATAACAATAATTTTGATTATGTAGTGTACTGATTTTGTTTTCTAAAGCATTTGTTCGTTTTGGAGAGTGCCTAAAAGCAGCAACTATGTCTGAGGCTAATTTTAATAAATGGCTACACATTCTATTCTCAAGACCTTTATTAATAGATAATTGCAATGTATGGGCGGCACACGGACTTGAATAAATATCACGTTCTTGTAATTTTCGTACAGCATTAGTTACATTTGCAGCATTATCGTGACTTATCCCTATGACTTTACCGGTTAAATTCCATGTTTCAATCATATTAATTAAACTGTCTTGTATATTATCTGCCGTATGGTTTTCTCGCATTTCTTCAAACCCTAATACTTGAGTACATAGTTCCCAATTTTCATTAAAGTAGTGACATGTGATTGTTATATAAGAATCTACAGCCAAAGACGTCCAGCCATCCGTAGTTAATGCTACACCTTTTATATTTTCTAGATTACGCTTTAGTTCCATCATTTTATCATCATACATTTTTTCAATACGAACGATGATTGTATTTCTACATGGTACTTTATAGTCTGGTTCAATAACTGACATCAATTTTCGAAATCCTTTGTTTTTCTACCGTACTAAATGGTAGCATATCCATTGTAATCATTTGACAAATACTCTGAGTAATCAGTTCGGCACGACTTTTATCTACAGGTCTAAATTTAATTGCAGTTGAAACATGAGATCTCTTTAAACGTTTTTGGGGTGGTTGTGATACTACTGTTGGTAATTGGTATTGATGTCGAAGATGACATATCTGAAGATGTCGATATCTGTTCTGTTTCGCTACTTAAGTTTAAAATTTAGAAATTTTAAAAAGAATATTATATAATCGTTGTATTACCTATTTTTAACATAAAATAATTAATGATGGCTTACCTCTCCTCAGTTAATTGTACTGCATCGATTCCATTATTAGTATTATGCCACGATTTGTAGTGATACCACAAAGAAGAAGTAGACCCCATATTTTTCAAAATTTGACTACATATTTTACACGTCGCTGTTTCATTTGTTTCACCGTGATTAAAATATTTCCAAACGTTACTACGATTCATAGTTATTGTTCAAACGATATTAATATAAAATAAAATAATTAAGCAAATATTTATATTAATATTGTCTTATGATGTTGATAGTTGACGAATAAAATACAGACAGAACGAAAATTAACATTAAATGCCATTACGACTAAATCGATCATAAAATCGACAGTTGAAATAATTTTATCTAATCAAAATATAATCTAGCACTAATATCCACAATAAGATAAAACTTACATTGCAAAAACGTATTAAAGCCTAATATGTTTGAGATAATTTAATACTCTCAACGATAAATAATTCCATAACATATTATGATAAAATGATATAACTTTACTAACATTTTTGAGTCAATGAGTCAAACTATTATTTTTTAATTTTAATTTTTACCGTCTTAAATGAAACAGTCTAATACTTATAAATTAAATAACAAATAATTAATCAACAAGTTTAAAATATCCGGATTATTCGGATAATTCGGATTTTATCCGTTTATTATTTGGATTTGAATATCCGGATTATCCGAATAGTATTGGAATCCGGATATTAGTGACACCACTAGAATAAAGCTCACCTGCGAGCGAGTGCAAAATTCCTGGTTTCTGACCGCACCTTAAATACGCGTATTTTAATAAAACACAATCAACTATAATTCCACATAAATTTTACAATTTAAAAAAAATTTAGTACCCGGCCTTTATTTGCATTTCACATGCATCCCTGTGTGTAATTAAGTGATTTTGACTTTTATGCGATAGTATTTTAATAATCCCAAGTGCGATATCATAAATCACAATTATACTTCTACGATATTATGTTTAAGAGACTAGGTACATCAAAATATAAGTTATTTAGTTCAAACGTATAGTGACGTCACAAATTAGAGTTCTACGCAATTGTTATTTGTAATATTACACACGGAAAAAAATAATTTTGGTATGGTAAAAGGTTAAAAATATGATAGTTGATATTACCATAATATATATGCCTGTTTGGTGAAAAATACAATGTAGTTTTAGTTTATTAACTTATAGTTAAATTTTCCAAATAAATATGTGCACTAAATATTTCTGAAAGTTATATCAACCATGTTAGTATGTTTGTTGTATATGGGCATTATTTTCTTCGTCTATATACACTGTACAGTGTACATAGGCGACCATAATAACACGCGTGCCAGTTGTAGCCACTGCTAATGCACACACTCAACCAAAAATCATTAGTAAAATTAATAATATACATTTATCGTTTTTTAATAACTATACGTTTGTTAAAATAATAATAATTGTATCATATTTACAAAAGCATTATTGAATGTGTTAACGATATATTTAAAATAAAGATCTTCATTCGTTCAATTTAATAAATAATCATATTATGAATTAACAGAGTAAGTTTATTAAATTAATAGAGAAATTATTGTTTTGATAATAGTATGTTTAAATAGTAAAAATTATATCTAACGAAGTAACTATTCATACATGTAATTTCATGAATGGTATGTTTAATTCAACTATATAATATTATTTTATTTTAATAGTGGGTTTATACGTATTTAAAAATAATTTTGGATTTCTCGTTATCACCCGTTTTCCATATATGGAGATATTATATTGTTATAATACAATTATAAATATAACTAATAAACATAATTTTATAATATGTTTATTAAATCAATGAACAAATTGTTGTTTTGATTAAAGTATGATCAAAATTGCACATGATACCTAACCTCTTTTTTCACAATAACGAAAATTAATAATTATAATAATTTGTGATCGGTCGATATTGCTCTGCCTTGCTCTGATACTTACTATAGTCTACAGTTATAGCTATATTATACATAATTACGAGTGCAAATGTTTTCACGTCAACAGGATTATTACCAGACAACTTGTAAGAAGTAAGTACCATCATTTACTTTAACATAATCACAATTTTGAATATTTTTATTCTGATTTAAATAGGCTATCAATACTGCTTTATACTGGATTAAGTTTAAATTTTGAAAAAGTTGGTAGGTAACTAGTTAAACAATTATTAAATTTACCTACGTATAATATTACTTATAGCCTATAGGTACACATATTTTATAAACATTTGATTTTGTAAAAAATAAATTCATAGTGAATCAAGTTTTTGAATCTATATATTAAATTAAAATACACACACATATATAATATATATATATATATATATATATAAATAGTAATTACTAATTTGTTAAAACTAATAATAATTAACAATGAATTGTTTTATTTGTAAACAACATATTTCAAAATTCTCCTCACTTTTGGTCCATTATAAAATAATTCATTTATTGAAATCTTCTAGTACATATGAATGTACACAAAGCCAGTGTACACAATTATTTCAAAACTTAAATAGTTTCAAAAAACATACAATAAAAAAGCATCTTATCATCAATTCTAATACAACTAATACAAGCAATATTAACAATGATATTAATACTTCTTTAGAAGTTCAAAATAGTACAACTCAAAATTTAAATACAGTTGATAGAATGTCCTATGAAAATGAATCCATACAAAATAATAATTCTATACCTCAAGTAAATCATTATAATAATTGTATTCCTCTTGATACAGCTCTTACTTCATTCCAAGATTCTGCTCTTAAATTTACAATATCACTAATCAGTAATAATAATTTTTCTAGAAAAAATGCTTTTGATATTCAAAGAGGTATAGAAGAAAGCTTGATAAAACCATTGGTGAATTTACTTAATGAATTTCTTAAAGATACAATTAAATTGCCCGCAACGTTATCACAATTTAATAAAATTACATCAATATTATCAAATCCATTTGAATGGTGTAATTCTGAATATAAGTTAAATAATTGGTTGTCTGAAAACAACTTGTATGAAGAAACTCGGCAATTTACTATTAATAGTGAAACAAATTTAGTATATAACTCAGGAGAAACATTTTATGGTGATAAAATTGCAAAGGGTGTTTTGCTACCAATCAAATTTCAATTAAAAAAATATTTTGAATTCAATAATAATAATAATTTAAATACATCTTTAAAACATTATGAATATTTAATGAATACTTCAGGTGATAATTCAATAAAACATTATGTACATGGAAAACAATGGAAGGAAAAAGTTTCTCTGTTTAATAATAAAATTGTTATTCCATATTTCATGTATATTGACGATTTTGAGATAAACAATCCGCTAGGTTCACATGCTTCTGTTCAATCCCTTGCAGCAATATACTATAGTTTTCCATTATTAGATCAATCGAAACTTAATAACATCCACTTAGCTGCATTAATAAAAACAGTCAATATGAAGGAGTTTGGTAATAATTTGTCTCTTCAAAAATTGATAGATGAATTAAATGATATTGAAGTTAATGGTATTAGTATATGTACACCAGAAGGTAACAAACAAGTACATTTCATTTTAGGGCTTTTTATTGGGGACAATCTTGCATTAAATAGCATAAGTGAGTTTAGTAAATCGTTTTCAGCAAATTACTTTTGTAGATTTTGCACAGCTCATAAATCCTTAACTCATATATTATGTGAGGAAAATGATTCATTACTTCGTAATAATGTAAACTACTCTGAAGATGTCAATAAAAATAATTTTAAAGAGACTGGTATTTATAGTGAATCAATTTTAAATAATATAACTTCCTTTCACATTGTGAAAAACTTTAGCGTAGACATAATGCATGATCTTTTTGAAGGCATTTGTCATTACAACATGTGCCACATAATACATTATTACACAGAGTTGGTTAAAATATTTTCTTTAGAAGAGTTAAATTTTAGGAAACAAAATTTTAATTATGGATGCATTGAAATTGGCAATATTTCTCCTCCTATTAAAACTATTCACTTAAAAAAATTTCATTTAAAAATGTCAGCTCGTGAGATGATGACATTTGTACATTATTTTTCTTTAATAGTTGGTGATTTAATTCCTGAAGATGATGCAGTATGGTTATTTTACTTAAATTTTTTGGAAATAGTTGATACTCTACTCTCAAACCAATTTACTCAAAATTCAATCCTTCTCTTAAAAAATAATATAAAACAACACAACTCTGATTATATTTTATTATTTCAAGACAATTTAAAACCAAAACATCATTTATTAACACATTATCCAACAATAATTCTAAATTCAGGACCTCCCAAACATTTTTGGTGTTTTAGGTATGAGGCAAAACATAAGGAAATGAAAATATATGCGCATGTGATAACTTCAAGAAAAAATATTTCTTTAACACTGGCAAAAAAATTTCAATTTAAATTTATAAATAATATATTAAATGATTATCCTTATGAATGTGTAAAAGAAATGAGACATAAAATCTGTACTAATCACAATATATTAATACAAAGAAATTTAGGTCTGTCTATTGATGAATTTGATTGCTACTCTCAAGTTGAGTTAAAAGGTACAACTTATAAAGTAGATTATTTAGTGTCCAATTTTACTGATGACCTTTGTTTGTATGA